TGGTTATATGCCCGTCCGAGAATCGCCCACACAACACTAGTCAAAAACAGAGATGGGGGGACTGAACTTGCCAGACGTCGAAATATACTATAAGGCAATCCACCTAAATAGAATATATGAATGGACAAAAAAAAAACAGACACAACAATGGGTACAACTGGAAAATACATTCTCTACATCGCCACTAAAAATAACCCTGTGGCTTCCAGACACTCACTCACAGCGGCAACATAAATTCATGCACCCAACTATTGACGCAACACTAAAAATATGGCACAAACTAGTGAAAACGACAGCGATCTCTCCCTATCCATCCCCACTATATCCACTAACATACAACCCTAAGTTTCAAGGAGGGCGCACAGGGAGATCATACGACCAATATGGTGATGGACCAATGCTACAATTGAGAGACAATAATATAAAAAGCCTAACTCAAATCATACCAGACACCACTCACACAGGCATCCAACAGCTACATTATGCACAAATAGTACACTTTATTAAGAGTCAAAATCTAATGCCAGATGGTACGCGGGCTCTTACACCTGTGGAACATCTATGCTCCTCACACCCATTAAAGAACAAAATCCTCTCCACCATGTATAAATTAATCAAAAAGACACAAGACTCAGACCTTGCTAACTATACAAAGCGATGGGAAGAAGAACTCAATTCAGACATATCTCCCCTACAATGGCGTTCCATTCTAAAAGCGGTACATACTTCTAGCACATCGCTAGCGACTCAAGAAAGTAATTATAAACGTATCTCCAGGTGGCACTACACACCAATGAAAATACACAAAATCCATAATACCTCCGCAGCTATATGTTGGAGATGCCAACACAGGGAAGCCCACCAGTCACACATTTGGTGGCAATGCCCTATAATAGTGAAATTCTGGACTAGAATTCATAAACTTATGCAAAAATTATTAAACATAACGTTCCCATTTCCCCCCCAACATTTCATACTCACACTTCCACCAAAAGACCTACCAAGAATAAAATCCCTCCTCCTCAATCATTTAATTATGGCAGCTACACAATTAATTCCTAAATACTGGAACCAACCACAATCCCCAACGATAAGAGAGTGGATTCAGAGAGTCGAGGGAATTAAACAGATGGAAGAACTAACATGCTAAATTCAAAATTACAGTAAATTCACACAAATCTGGGAACCATAGAACAATTTCCTACATTCCAATCAACCCAACAGTAATACGACTTGAACCCTTCTCTCTTCCCCCTCCCCTTCCCCCCTCTATGATACCCCTAGAGAAACACACTATAACTCTTCAAAGGGACTAGACATGACCTCACGACCATCCCAATAATCAAATAAATACCAGGACCTCAACAGTTAATCTGCTTACATTTGCTTACAACAAAGAAAAGTGGTGCATAATAACATAGAAAGATACAAATGCCATGCATCTAAAAGAAAAATGACGATTCCCATATATAGTAATTATAATTGCATACAACATCTGTACTGTCACAGGCAAATTGGTCTTTTTGGGCTGAATACAGTTTTATATTATTAAATTTCCTCAAAAATACATGTGATAGAATACCCTCATCTTGAATATACAGTACACTTGTGGGGTGGCAAGTACAATTAAAATGGGTTTACACAAAGCGATACTATTAATTAAAGGATCAATTAAAGCAGATTGAATTGAAAATGTAAATTATAACAAAATGTTTCTCACTGGAATTTTACACAGTGTAACAATGTTCCTGTCATGAGAAATCATTGCCATTTTGTAGCATAATCAAGGTGAATACGAATACTATCTTTCTAAATAAAATTTAAAAAGAACATCTAAATAACAAAAGCATTTTTATAAATGTAGTTGAAGATCACAGTAATTTACAGAACATGAAGGCGGGCTATTAATTGTTGGAAAAGGTACATGGTATTCTACAAATATTCTATTTATACACCCATTTTGAATATCTGATGTAATCAGGGGTCTGAAAATCTCTCCAAATAGTCATTTTACAGCCAAGTACATTTTCTTAGTTCATGCCATATGTTTAATTGTGATGTGAAACATTATATTTGTGGCTTGAAATGTCTTTTTATTATGCACTTTGTAATTTACACTAGATGGCTTGTGAAATGAATCATGTTTAACATTTACTAGACCGCGACAGAATTTATTGTGACAAATGCTTGTTAATATGCAAATGAAGTTGATAGTGCTTGAAGCGTCATTCTGTAATTACTCAGCTGTTTCTCCAGTGTGATTTATGGAATCAGCAGTTTATGAAGATAGAATGGCACAGACTAATTCACTCATGTAGATTCATTAATGTTTCAGGGTTAAAATATGTTTGCTGTCACTTTCTCAACAGCATTGATTAGCAACATAATGTTGTGTGGGCCAGTTAATTCATCTATGTAAATTTAGTTCTGAGATGCCAGAGGTCTTGAACATGGCAATTTGACAACACAAAATGCACTCAAATATGGTTTCCATTTGATGAACTTGTGGAAATGACTCAGTGGATACAAAACATATGCTTTTATACAAAGATACATTTCAAGATTAAGTTGAGAATTAAAAGTTTGAATGTGGTTTGGAAGAAAGTTATTTTTTCTTGGCTGTCTGAATTGGAACCACTGAACTTAAACATGATTATCAGATGTTGGAATAATCACAGCATGCATTATGTATTTATTTATGAATAGATCTCTGGACATTTGGTGAAGCGATAGAAAATGTGTTTACTTATCTAATGCAATGTTCTCTCATATACTAAGTATCATCTTGGTCTTCAGTGTATCTGTTATTATGTAATTATGTAGTTCTGTTTTTTTATGAACGTGAGACAGTATTGAATGACTAGATCCAGTTTGTTTATCTGCCTTTAGCAGGAGCCACTCTTGTAGCCAAAAAAAAGTTGACATAGCCTGCAAAACACAGGAACACCCATTTCAAAGTAAAATTAAGCATATTATTTTAAAACATTCAAAATAAAAAACATTTTGTTTTTGATTTTGCTGCAATTCATGAGAAATCAAAATCATCGCAAATGTCTTCTGCAATTTTTTTATCCTTGTAGTACTTTAAGGTTGATTATATTTATGCAGTTGTAGTAATAATCAGTACATTTATATGATACTGAAAACCTAAATTGTAGTAGTAATGCAGTTACTTCTCTACCTTTACAATAAATAATTGCATAATTAAAACACATAACTACACTATCAAATCACAGGACAGCTGGCCTCCCATCTTTATCTCCATCTGTGTGTTGAAAAAGGGTGGAGGAGAAACATACTTTATGAGGCATGATAGGTAGCTTCTAAATATGGAGGCCATAAAATACATTCATAATTACAATGGCCCGAGCATGGCCAGTCCTCTAGTCAGAGGATGCCTCATCCTACCTACTTGGGAAGTCAGTTGTGATAGGGCATTCAAAGATTTGTCACAAAAATACTGAAGTAAATGATGTCTTAATAGATATTTTTTTAATTTTAAACTGAACATTTTCCAAGAATCATGATTTAAAGAGCTCAGTAAAGCTATTTTCAACACTATTTCCATATCTATAAAATTAAAATAAAATAGCAATTTCATTTCTTAAGGACCGCGGACGTACTAGGTACATCCGACAAAAACGGTCCTTAACCCCTTAAGGACACATGACATGTGTGACATGCCATGATTCCCTTTTATTCCAGAAGTTTGGTCCTTAAGGGGTTAAAGACGTCCGAGGCAAATAGATTACTTACCCGATAACCGCCATTCCCCCGCCGGTGATCGGTGTTGTTCCCGGTCTGGGGGGACCGGGAACAACAAAAAAATTATATATATATGTATATATATATATATACATACACACATACATACACACACACAAAAAAATGATGTATTGATCCTGAGGAAAGCCACAGATGGAGGGCTGAAACGTCGATCAGATTTTAAAGAAAATTCAATAAAGGAGAATTTTTACTACTTTAAAAACCATGAGTGCAAGCCTCTTACTATATATACATACACATACATACACATACATACATACATACATGTACACACATATATATATATATATATATATATTATGTCATACTAAGTGTATTTTTATGTTAATAAATACATATATTAATATAAAAATACACTTATAATTAAATTACACGCATATATATATATATATATATATATATATATACAAATATATATATAATAACTATATATTGTAAAAAAATAAGTAAATAAAAAATGTTTTAAAAAAATATTTTTACATTTTATATATATATATATATATATATATATATATATATATACACACACACACAATATATTTAGACACACACATATATATATATATATATATATATATATATATATATGTAATTTTTATTATAACTGTATTTTTGATATATATATATATATATATATATATATATATATATATATATATATATATATATATAATTTGGTATATAGTGTTCAAGTATATATTGTAGTCAGTATTAGTCCAGTGATGTAGATGTAAAAACAGATAAAATTTCTTATCTGTAAATAATCTTTTATTGGACTAATAGAATCTTTTACTGACAAGCTTTCGAGAACCTCCCCTTTCAAGTCTGGAAGTACTTGAGCAAAACGACACATAGAATTTAAAGTTGAGTTGTGATACAGGGTTAAAGCCATATGAGCGTAGATAAGACACAGGTTTGTTAGAAAATAGACACCATCTTAGCAGAGGGTCATAAATATCTTGTTGAAGAGAAGAGTAGGGGGGAGAGAGGGAAAAGAAAAACAAACAAGCAGACAGTGCACAGGATGATACACTTTATACATGCACACACACAGAAATATGTATATGTGAACGCATAAACACATGTATAAACACAAGGAACACAAACTATCTGACCCAGAAGCATCAGTTCTCTCCAAAGGACTATCATTTTGCCCTAGCACAAAACTTGATGACATTGGGCTCTACTCTGACGTGGAAGAATTTTTCAGAAGGATGCGACTTAAGGAATACTTCCATGACAAAGAGAGCACTGAAACCACAATGGATTACAACAACCGGAAAAAAAACACTAATTTCAGTCCAGCACCAGGACGAAATGCCAAACTGGACAGTTACATTGAAAGTTTCCGTCTAAGAACAGTATCCTTGACAACCAAGCAAAACCAAAAGAAAATGTTTCATAATCTCTCAGTACAGGAACAAATGGCTATAAATGACCTGAAAAATAATCATGCTATCACCATCAAACCAGCAGACAAGGGAGGAGCAGTAGTGATAATGAACACCCAGGACTACATAAAAGAGGGTGACATGCAATTGTCAGATGACAAATACTATAGAAAACTAAATGAAGACCCCACCAAGGAATATACATCACAACTTAGGGAGCTCATTAAATCCTTCCCTGAGAACTTACACCTAGAACTGCAATCACTCATACCAACTAGTCCCTGCATGGGCACTTTCTATATGCTTCCCAAAATCCACAAAGCAGGTAATCCTGGAAGACCCATAATTACAGGAATGGGAACTCTCACAGAACAGATCTCAGGACTGGTAGAAAATACCCTAAAACCTCTAGTCACCAACACTAACAGCTTCATAAAAGACACAACCAACTTCCTCAACAAACTCAGCCAAATCACCAATCTCCCTGCTAACACCATCCTTGTAACCATGGATGTGGAATCTCTGTACAGCAACATTCCACATACAGATGGCATCAATGCTTGCTTCCATTTTCTCTCTCATGTCAACAACCAAAAATACAGCCCCCGAATTATCACAGAACTGGCACTATTTATCCTCACACATAACTACTTCAGTTTCAACAATGAGGTTTACCTACAAACCATGGGCACTGCTATGGGCACTAAGATGGCACCCCAATATGCTAATCTGTTTATGGCAGATCTTGAACAGAGATTCCTAGAAAACCAACACACCAAACCATACAAATATTATCGCTACATCGATGATATCTTCATAATTTGGACTGAAAGCAAAGAAAAACTGATACAGTTCCATGACTCTTTCAACACATTCCATCCATCAATCAAACTAAAAATGGAATATTCCACTAGATCTGTGAATTTTCTGGACACAACTGTGACATGTAATAATGGCACAATCCACACCTCGGTTTACAGAAAACCCACAGACAGGTGCAGTTACCTACACAGCTCCAGCTTCCACCCCTCTCATACTAAACAGGGCATCATCTACAGCCAAGACACTAGGTACCATCGCATATGCTCTGATCCTAATGACCGTAATTCCCATCTAAATGTACTCTCCCAATCTATGAGACAGAAAGGCTACAAACCAAAGACTATTACCAAACAAATCAACTCTGCTGTAAAAACGCCACGTACGCGCCTGCTACAATACAGAGAGAAAAAAATATGCACACGAGTGCCACTTGTGGTCACCTACAACCCTGCTCTTGAGGAAATACGGAAAATCATCAAAGACCTACAACCAATATTAACAGAAGATGAGACTCTGAAAAACATTTTCCCTGAAACACCCATTTTGGCCTTCAGACAACCACCAAACCTCCAACAAAAATTAATCAACAGGAGGCTGCCCACTGATGGTAAGAACGAAGAAAACGGGACCAGTCAATGCAAAAAACCTCGCTGCAAACTGTGTCAGCACATATGCACAGACAACACAGCCACACACAACAATAAAACCTACAGCATTAAAGGTTCATACTCCTGCACATCCAGCAATGTGGTATACATGATTCAATGCATAAAATGCCACCTAGGATGCTACATTGGGGAAACCACCCAGCCATTAAATGGCAGAATGAATATGCACAGACACTCTATTAAACACCACAAAGAAGAATCATACTGCACTCCTGTGGGACACCACTTTACCCAGCCTGGCCACTCACTGAAGGACCTAAAAATCAAAATACTGAAAGGGGGTTTTAAAAATACCCAGGAAAGGGGGGGGCGGAGCCTGGCAGCCACGCTGAGCGGTCGCACAATATTTGGGCTCCGAGGCAAAATACACATATTCAGCTACAATTGACTAAATAAGCCCTAAAAATCGACTGCACAACAGCTCCAGAAACAGTGATCTTCCAAAGTGGCAACAAGCGACAGAAGATCCGACCGCAAGCGGCAATCTCTTACCGGAGATCAACCCAAGGCCTACAGAGGACCCGACCGGGCGAAACGAGGGAGGCGGCCGATCCCTTTGCTAAAGGTCTGCATGGAATACCTTATATCCCTCCCCTCCCCCCCTCCGCCGGTGGGGGACATCCCGGCAATTATAAGCGAGAATCCAGCTACAACACAAGCGGCAAAGTCAGCAACCAGGCGAAGCTTACAAGGCCCGACCAAGATGGCGGCGCAGCCTAAGACCAAGCACCTACGCATTGCACCGCCCAAGCACACATGGGTCTTCATAGACTTGCTGGGTACCTATCTCTGGGCAAAGCTTAAAGCCCGAAGGCAACCCTACCGGATGGCAATGAGAGAGGTGATGGCGTGGATCCGCTCGTCCACCCGACGTACCTTGCAATGGCATCCTCCTCACAAATCCAGAGCAACCTCCAAACTGAAGCAGAGCCGGAGCTCAAACAGGCGGGAAATTGAGTTGGGCCCCCCGAACGCTGAAACCTACGACCCCGCAACACAGGACAAGCCCAGACCTACCCCTCACTCAGTGGTCCCAGAAACGAGGGACCAGCAGAGTACTAACCTGCACACTGCCACCCACAGAGTCCGCTGCGACGCTAACCGAGATGCAGCAAAGCAAGACCGCGGGGGACGGAAAGTACAGAGAGCTAATCCACGACCCACCGGGGAGAGAACCCGGAAGAGAGTGGGGAGGGAAGATGAGCTCGGTACCAAGCTGCCTTATCGATTTTGGACTATGTGTGGCATCGGCTGACAGAAACGGGCAGAGTCCTTGACAGTATCTTCCGGTAACACGGGAGCAGTTGAGACTGTTTATAGGATCTTATACGCCATCCTTTCCTGGTGGTTACTTATTTTCTATCACTGTTGATTTTGCATGCTGGCTTTGCACGTTTATAGTATCTCACTTGCTTATGGAGACTAACTGAACTTCCTATAGTCTGAGGTTGCTCATGATGCAAGTAGTTAGTCCCGTGAAGTAACTAAATAAACCTGTATATATTGCTTGCCCAGCAAACTACAATATGCCGCTGGTTTAATGCTATGTTTGTAGATAAATCGATAATATTTTCAGCCAGTTCGGCAATGTTTAAATGTCTCTAATCGTTACTATATATGTTGGAACCATAGCATATTTATCGTAATAAGCTGAATGACCCTACCGTGACCCACACACTAGACAAGCAAAGCTAGCCTATACTCAGTACGTTTAAGAACCTTAATATGTTAATTAGTCTGTTTTGTCTTTTTTGTTTATTTTTTTTTTTAATGTGCGGTTAATCTGTGCCATGACTATATGTATGCCATTGAAACGCCTGTCGTGGCGCTACAGGCCTCTCTGTTATATGATCAAAGACACAAGAAGGATAAAGAATTAAAAAAGGGAAGGAAAAAAGAGGAAACGTTAACCGGCATAGTTTTGAACACTCTTCAACCACAAGCATCACAGACAGCCTGTACATTATGCTCATGCCTAAATATAATGATGCTACTTGTTTACTGCCTGTCTGTTTGGCCCTGCTTGGCCCTATAACACATACAGTGAATATGCCCCACAGCAAGTAGAGTTGACCGAACATGCTTAAATAAGATTGGTCACGCATAGAAAAGCTCACTTCAACTAATGTGTATGTTTAGCCTGTAATAGCTTAATTTAAACTAGCCTAAGAGTTCCCTATCTCTAAGACATACCATCCATTGTATTACTCCTGCATAGCAAACTGATAGGTCTTACTTCCAACTCGCTTCTAGCTAACTAGTAACTCCTAAAGGTGACTAAATTTATCATAAGCACGTATAACCAAGCATGGTCAATGAGAGATACTGATATTACATAGCTTGTTATTTTCATGTTCTCTAAAAAAAAAAAAAAATTGTGCTGTTTAAACTGCCATATGTTGAAATATGATGAAAACGCTTGCAGCAGCTGTCGTGGCGTTGCACGCTTGTTGTTATCACATGCACAAATAAAAATAAAGAATTATATAAAAAAAAAATACCCAGGAAAGAAAAGCCTTTGAAGCCAGAATGATTAAATGGTTTAACAGCAAGAAGAGAGGACTAAATATTGATTTGGGATTCCTGTCCCACTACCAACACTTTACATGAACACTCTCCCAGCATTATCTTACTATTCTGTCATATGTACCAACACTTTAAAATGCATTCCTATATGTTTATTCTATCTATATACAAAGTACTATGTGTAGACCTATGCTTTCCCATACTCGTATGCATGAATGCTTATATATATTACTGTGCATTTATATTTGTGTATATGAGTCCATGTGCATGTATGTATATGTGTTTATGTATATGTATATATACATGTGTTTATGCGTTCACATATACATATTTCTGTGTGTGTGCATGTATAAAGTGTATCATCCTGTGCACTTTCTGCTTGTTTGTTTTTCTTTTCCCTCTCTCCCCCCTACTCTTCTCTTCAACAAGATATTTATGACCCTCTGCTAAGATGGTGTCTATTTTCTAACAAACCTGTGTCTTATCTACACTCATGTGCTTTAACCCCTGTATCACAACTCAACTTTGAATTCTATGTGTCGTTTTGCTCAGAAATGCTTCAGACTTGAGAAAGGGAGGTTCTCCCGAAAGCTTGTCATTAAAAAATTCTGTTAGTCCAATAAAAAAGGTATTACAAGATAAGAATTTTATGTTTTTTACATCTACATCACTGGACTAATACGGCTACAATCTCTACTTGAATATATATATGTATATATATATATATATATATATATATACAAAAAATGAATAAGCAAGGCACACCTCCTGAAATTCCTCTTGTAGTGAGTCAAATGCCTAGGTGCAGTCCCGCGTCCAAATATACATAAATCAATAAGGGGAGCACACCAGGACTTCAATATAGTGCAAAAAGTATTTACTGTATCCAAAACATGGTACAAATTCTGTGCAAAGAAAATCAACGTTTTGACCCTGCTGGGGTCTTTATCAAGATCACAGTGAAGTGTTGTAATGGTGAACAATATATACATACAAATAAAATAACGCTTACCAATCAGATAATCGAGACCCCGATCAGCTACAGGACCCGGAAGTGAGAAGACCACGTGAACGATGCATAGCATGTGACTGGGTTGCTAAGCAACCTAAGTGGCCATACTGCAAACAGAAGATCAGGCGATCGGCACCGCCGTGATACCCGGAAGTGCTCAAACCACGTGGGGGTTGTCATGTGACAAGAATTCATGTGATGAGGTTGCTAGGCAACCAATCTAACAGTGTCTAACCTTACTTCTCTAACCAGAGATCGAGGAAACAGACAACGAGCACTGCATATGGAGGAGAGAATCAAATAAAGACCCCACTTTACGGATGATCCATCAGTGAAAAAGAAGTGCATAGTGCAAAGAAAACATATAAATGTGAAAATCTGTGAAAAAAATACACATATAAACTACAAGACAGATCAATCCCTGTTGGGGAAGTAATAAAATCCATTATACACGTACAATATATATCCAAAATAAATATATATATATATATATATCAACAGTTCTTTTTACTGTGCTGTTATCTAGCCAATACTACATAAATAACTTAAATAATATATCTATTGTTTATGTACGTATATTTTAATCTATTTAAATCCAAGAAGAAGCATAAACCATACTAATCACTCTAGCTGAGTGTAGAAAAAGGACTCTAAGTCCTAGATGTATACTAAACAGCTGTACTCCCCGCAAAACATACGACAATTACCACATCCTACCTAAGCTTACTCTCAATGGTCAATCTTAGATCCAATACATGAAAAAAATGTACAGAAAGATGTACAAAAATGTACAAAAAGATGTAAAAAAATATGATAGCAACAGTATCACTACTCTATCTATTAGATATAGATTCTAATGAAACAGTTCATGTTATGCTGTTACTCTAGATTCTATATGAACACTTGAAAAAGAATCAGCATCAACTATATATATTAAAGAAACATCGAAAGAACTAGATGTTCATTTAGTCCCTTCGGGGTCACGGTATTTAAGTGATGTATCCAGTAGGCTTCACGTTGAAGTAATAACTTAGATCTATCACCTCCTCTTGGTGGTACCGGAACATGATCAATAGCTATGAACCTGAGAGTAGGCAGATGGTGTTGTGCTGATAAAAAATGCTTAGCCACCGGTTTATCCGTTTTTTGATCTCTGAAGGCTGTATTGATTCCCGAGCGATGTCCCCTGATCCGATCTCTTAAAGTCATGTCGGTCTTCCCAACGTAGGCTAAGCCGCATGGACAAGTAATCATGTACACCACATATGTGGTCATGCATGAAATATAATGATTAATAGGGAATGCGTTTCCCACTATGTGGATGTACAAATGTGGTTCCAGTAAGCATATGACTGCACGTAACACAGCCGCTACATTTGTAGCAGCCCTTTTTTTGGATTT